GGAACCGCGAATTTATAGATCTGACGCGAAACCTAGATACATATACTGAATAAGATGCATCCATACATCTATGGAGTATTTCAACGAACAAATCTAAGTACAGATACCAATAAAAGTTTTCGTCTATTTGTCTGTCATGTTCGCCAACGACACAGCTGCCAAGACTGCCAGACCAACATACGCGATGAGGCAGCCGTGCAACTTTTCCTCATGGGCATGTACACAACCGCGGTCCGTTACAGCCTGTCTTATATTGTGGGACAGCGAAGCTTCCAACATTGCGGCACAGCGTCGCGTCCAACAGCCAAGAAACATTCCGCCGACCTAGCAGTCCCTTCTTCCCAAATCATTTCTTGTCCAACATTATTACCCTTTTCACCGACATACTCGAACGGCTTCTCCTCGGTCGATTTTGGCGCGCACTGAACCCAAAATTCGAATGGATGTGCCATTCGAACAAAGCCACGCATCATGCCTGACGTCTTACACGACTCCAACTCCACCGAAGGGGCCAATTTCGACAGCAACGCCACGAATGCCGCATCTCCCGCATCGGATGGCCCGAATAACGACCCGGCTGAGAGCCTTATCAGCCAAGGCAGCCGCGACAAGAAGGCCGCATCCGCGCCCACGGAGACTCATGGCATTAGGAAAAGAGACTCCGCCGGCGCAATCCAGCAGTTTCTTCTTGATGTTCTTCTCATCATTCCGTCCCTATGCTTCATTATTTACGGCATGATGGCTCTCAAACATAACAACTGGCCGATCGACTCGGGAATGGTTCCAACCTTACGTATGGCCGCAACGTACAGCCCGACGGTCTTCCCCATCGTATTCGCCGCCGTTGCCGCCAATCTGCTCAAGGCTGCGGCCGGTTGGAAGATGGAGCGCGGCGTCTCAATTCTCAGTCTAGAGTATCTTCTCAGCTGCCGCACAGTTTTCAGCGCCGTTACGACGCCTCTATCTCTACGACGTGTGAACATCCTGTCACCACTCCTCATAGCGCTCTGGGCTATGTCTCCTCTCGGGGGGCAAGCAGCTCTACGCATCATCGATGTGATCCCGTCTCAAGCATCAGAACCGTACCCGTTTGAGAACCTTGAGTTCATGTCCGTGTTTCCACACTCCGGGGCGCAGAGCTCAGCCGGATTCAGCACAATGCCCTCAATCCAAGGGGCCTTTATCTCGGCCTTGTCTTTCCCCGAGGACATCAAAGCAAGACCTCGAGATGCCTTCGGCAACGTCAAGATCCCCATGCTCGAATATTATCCACCAACAGTGGAAGCCGATGTCGACGGCTGGTACGACGTCAGCCCCGACGGTGCTTATACGGCTTGGGCAGCCATTATGGGAATACCCATCGCGACTGAAGGGGACTTCTCCCAAGGACTTAACTACTCTTTCACTTTTGAGACGGCCTATATGAATGCAGACTGTTCAGTCCGGCGTGGAGCATCAATGTCCCTCGTGGGCTGGTTCGCATACAAGAACAAAACGCTTGGGCGAGAAGCCGCCTACACTACCGGCAGGACTTTACTCATTAAATCCGACGGATTTCACGGCCTCTTTAGCAAGGATCCTAGAAAGTTGATATTCACATCCTACTACCCCCAAGATAGCATAACGACCAATGCTACATGTACACTTACAACGACGCATGCCGAGGTCGATGTGGCTTGTACTGGAGATCTCTGTGGCGCCCGTCGTGTCAGACGGATTGAGAAGCCAGACAATATGACTGTTACGACAGTACTGGATGGTGTCATTGCGGAAGGATCCCAAAAAATGGCACCGGCAGGAGTTTTTGACTTGTTCATGACAACGTTCATGCGAGTTACCTTGACAACATGGGAGGCGGAGAATGGCGCATGGTACAAACCATACCCTTCGCCTTTGGAAACCTACTTCACCCACCCGGCCGCGCCTTTTTCTGCACCGGGCATCGGCTCTTACAATGGAACTGATATTTACGAAGTAGGAGATGCAGTATTTTCACAGCGATTCTCCCAGCTACTCAATACCTTTTGGCTTGCCTCGGTGGCGTCTCGCAACATCACCGGCGACTTCAACTTCCAGGCACATACTCTCAACCGGGAAATCGAAAACACGATTGTTCAAAACACCACGGGTATGAGGATACCGGATGAATTAGTAGTGCGCGTGAATGGGCTTTGGATTTCGATCCTGTTCATCGCGTCTACGATCATGCTGGCTTCGGGTATTGCAGCCAGCATCTTCAGCTGCCTCAGACGAGGACCTGACGTACTAGATCGAGCCACATTCTTCTTGAGAGATAGCCCACACGTAAATGTAGCCCAACAGAGCTCTCTAGAGGATGGAACCAGCCAGGTCAAGAGAATAAAGGGAGTGCGCGTCTGCATCGGCGATGTCAGGCCTTCGGAGGAAACTGGGTATGTCGCATTTGGGACGGTCGGAGAAGCCATGCCCTTGAGGTGGCAGGAAAAGGAAAGGCGTTACGCCTAAGCTTTGGGCCAGGGGCATGAGCCGTATTGGAAAGCTGTGGGATATCAGATGTCTCTCCAATCCAGAAACAACAAATTCATTTTCACTGTATGATCTATTCCGTTCGTAGTCGCCTACTAAAACTTTTGGGCCCTTCCAGTTCCTCATTCATATCTCAGTAAGGCACCATCGTTCAAACAATCCCCAAGCTCATACACCACGGGTTGCTTGGCTTCTATTCAGCCTGCCAGCAATCCCATCCCGTCACCGAGAGAAACTTTCTGACGTTCATAATGGATATTGTAAGGATGATTGTACTGACTCCAAGTATGAATCATGAGCACAGCGCTTGAACAATGAGGACGCTGTAGAATAGTAGTAATCTACTGCCCCCACCCTCTCTATCAATGTGGCTAGAATCTGGTCGTTAACAGGTTCAGCTGGCGGTTCTGAAGAAGGAAATTACGAGGAAGTACTATAGTAGCTAATCTAGCCGGTGGCTAAGGCTCCATGAGCCCGATGGAATGATTGTATCTCGCCATGCTAGGGCCACGTGCAATCCAGCCTCCGAACGGCCGCTCGGGTGTTCCGCATTAGCTGCATCCCACAAGTTGGCATCAAAGTTGCTCAACACATATTGATGCTTGCGCGTGATACACTTCTAGTGTCCTATCATCCTTGGTGTTAAAAGGCGATAACGCTTGTTAGAACATCGCTTCTAGATCTCCAATCCTCTCCACACTAGCCTCGAAACTGGCGTTCCTCCTTGGACTTGGACCAACTCAGACCCCCGCCCCCTCGCTGGAGAGATGGGTCCGTCATCGTTACACCAAGCCTTATTCAGACTTCCGGGCTCGATTGTGATCGAGATGTTGTACGGCTACCATACTCAAGGCTGTTTCCAGGTATGACCGTGTGATCAAGACAGGTTACGATGTTCCTCCTGCATACAATGTATCGAAGTGTTACCTCGCAACTCCAGGAACAGACTATCAAGGTAAATTAAGTACAATAATGAATAAATCTATACATCTGTACTATCAAACTACCAGCGTTGTATGTCCATTTTGCTGAGGCCGCCCAGGGAAAAACGGGAATCTTTCTTTTGACTAATAAGTGCTTTGCCGAGAATGGACATCTCAGAACGGCCATCGACCCAACCCCACGTTCAGCCACCGTTGCAGGTGCGTGCGCTGCATATATGCAGACACCAGCTATCCAGTCTCGTACTTGTCAGTTCGGCGTCGGGAGATGCAATAATTTCGTCATTCGGTGGTCCGATTTCAAAGCTTCCCGGAATGGACTCGTTCTAGCTTTCGTTCATATCTGTAGAGCCTGTCGCGGTCACAGAGACGCAACATACTACATCACATCAACTAGTGCAGAAATGTAGCTACTCATTCTTGAGAGACATGATTGGTACGGATCATAGCTTCCAGAGCTTGTGTAGACTGTTCAACCAAATGCGTTGTAGTAGTAGGCGCCAGTGGACTGCAAAGAGACACGGGAAGGAAACGCATCGCTGATCAACTCCTGATGCCGCCGAGGGAAATGCCGATGACCAAAGTCTGCCCGTCTTCAACTTGACTTCTGACGGATCCTGCTCCGCTCCTCACCCCTTGCCTAATAGGTATGCAATGCGAATGCTCATCATTGCAATTCTCGGAGAATTCCCTTCCCGCAAAAGCCATTTTGGGAACCCTGACACGCGCAAATGGCCAAAACATTGACAGGTCAAATGCTCTAAGCTTTGTTGACTCTCGATTATTCGCTCTACCCCGCGATCGTCATAAGAAATTCCCATAGTACTATCCATTTCCGACGACGCGGTCCATAGCCGCATCCATTATGACGCCGTACATCTGAAGCTACCTAAGCCTAGCGCAAGACTAGCTAAGACACACCTGTCTGCGCCACCACGCCGGGATTCCTGAGAACTGAGATCAAGCCTTCTTCCGTCGAACGGGCCCCAACGGATCACACTAATGAGGCTTAACACACAGGACTCATTCCTCCGATAACATTAGATGGTATCCACCGCTAGACGCCATGCCAAGACTGTCCAGCTCAGTCGCTCCTCGCCCTCGTCAGTGGCAGATTAGTAGCTCCAAAATTCAGCTTCCCCAGATGATCCGACTCAACTTTTAGCTCTTCGGCACAAACCTTGAGGCGTTTGATTTCGATGAGTCCAGGCTCATCATGATCTCCGAATGACGTCTTGCATCGAATTCCCTAGCTTTGGCCGCTTTAGACGCGAATTCCAGTCGCCGATGGAGAATGAATTCGAGATTCAGCGAATCTCTACGCGACGCTGGTACTAGGGCAGCTGAAGTTCAATGTCCTATGACGTTTTTGTTTCTTTGGCGAGAGACTGTGCGATGTTCAGATGCTTTTTCCGTTGTCTGAAGGTTGAATGATATTGACCAACTTAATGTATATATACTGCAACACCATCATCCCTAGAACCCTTCATGAAATATAATTCAATCCCAACAACCCAATAAAACAATTAATTGACAACAATAACAATCGTAATCATGGACAGAGCCAAGCAAGCCGTTTCCAGCTTCATCTCCAAGGATGGTCACCACAAGACCAGTGTCGATGAAGATGTCAACAGAGCCGTTACCGAGGAGCAGGTCCGCCCTCATCGCCACGAAGAGGTGACCACAGCCGTCGACAAGGAGGTTCACCAAGATCACCACCACACTACCATCCAGCCTGTTAAGCACCAGGAGACTCTGTAAGGGATTGTCACTTACTTACAATTTTTTCAATTAACTAATTCGCCTGCCAGCCCTGAGAAGCACCACCACAACATCGTCCCCGTCGCACACAAGACTTTCGACCACGGAAACGAGAGGGAGACCAAGGATACCCTTGACCGGGAACATGCGAAGTTCAAGGACACTACTACGACTCACGAGACGACTCATACTTCCACCACTGCTCCTGCCGTTACTGGCGAGAGAGTGCATCACCACATCCACGAGCACATTCAACCTGTTATTCAGAAGGACACTATCCAACCTCACATTGTCCACACCACTATTCCCATTCACGAGACACACCACGCTAAGCCTATTCACCACGAGGCTACTACTCTCCCCGTGAAGACTCTTGAAGAGTTCACCAAGGAGAAGGGAAGCCTCACTGACGGCCCTCGTCACCACCGCTACGACGAGTTTGAGGGTTGCCCCGACAAGTACCACAAGGAACTCGGAAACACTCACCAGTCAGGAATCGGCCACAGCCATGACCACAGCCATGGCGCCGGCAAGGCAGCCGTCGGCACCGCCGCCGCTGGCGGTGCTGCAGTTGCCGCTCACAAGCACCACGAGCACAAGAACGAGCACGATCGTGGTGTCGACAGCCATCACCACCCTGGCCCCGGTAAAGGCACTGCTACCGCTGGCACCGCAGCCGCAGGAGGAGCTGCATTGGCCGCCCACAAGCACCATAACAACGAAACTACTACTCACGGTGTAAACGATCGCGGTCTTGGCCACACTGGTCTCGAGAGCCAGCGTGCGGATCAGTACAACACTCACTCCGGATCCGGTAAGGTTGCTACCGCCGCTGCCGGCGCTGCCGCCGCCGGTGTTGCCACCCACCACGGCCATGGCAACACCACCACTCACAACACGACCGGCACTCACAACCCTCTCGGTTCTCACAGCACTACCGGCACCCACAACACTGACAGCCTTGCTGCGGCTCAGACTGCCAATACTCGTGCTAACAACACGACCGGAACTGGCAATCTGTCTCACAACCAGACTGCTGGCCGCGAGAACATCGCCCACAGCCAAACTGTAGGTCACAAGTCCATCAGCACTGCTCAAGGTATTATGCACGGGGCTCACCCAACCGGTAATCAGACATCTGGTACCAACTACACTACTTCCGGAAGCCCTACCGCTGCAACCCACGGCAGCTCAGGCCTCAACAAGTCTGAGGTAAGTCTGACATCAAACCGAATTATCGACTTTGAACTTGCTAACCGTTTGTCTCAGCCTCGCTTCGGCTCCACTGGCACCAGCACTAGTCAGAGTGGTGCTGGCAAGGCTTCAACCACTGACCATGCCACGCATGACACCACCGGCAAGAAGATTTCGCTTGTTGACAAGCTGAACCCCTTCAAGGATGCGGATGGTGACGGCCACAAGGGCATCATGAGCTAAATGCATAATGATACTGGGAGCGTTTCTTTAGTCAGTCATATGATTCAATAGGCCTCATCTATAATAATACATTGATTATCTGTTCAATATCATTCATTGCCCTAATTATGAGTTTTCATCTGACGTTCTTACTCTTTCTGGCCCTAACCCGAGTTCCTCGCGCCTTTGCTCCATTTTTTGTATACTGCACTTTGTCAATTTGACAATACGCCCCTTGATAATCTTCTTTAACATGAATTGAATCTTTGGGCCAGGATTGCATCGACTAGTATGTCCATCATAGAAACATATCTTGTCAGTAATGCTCCAGATACGTTCCACAAAATTTGCGACAGCCTCCACCCGATCACATTTCACTTCCAAACCAATACCTCCACTCGTGTCACCCATACCTCGCATCAAGCTGCCTAGGATGATGTAATTGCAATATTTCTTATCCTCGCGGGTGGCTCTCTTATCAACACAGCACCCGTCGTTGAACATGAGCTCCTTGATGACGGAGTTGATTTGAAGTGGCAGAGTGCTGATGATATCTTCACGCTGTCTGTGGAGAATCTCTACAGACTTCAGTTAGTGATCCATTTGAGTGCAGCAGCCAAACCAAGGGTGAGGCAGGCATAGATGTTACCTAGTAGACCGGGTGGACCGATAGGACCAACATCATCCAACAACACTTTTTGGCTGATCATGCGCCCGTCTTCGCTGAGCGAAGAGTACATAATCAATTCCTTGACCATTTGCCTATGCAGCTCAACCTGTCCCAACTCCCACGCCACATAGGACAATGCTGCTCTCTCTCGGCCTTCAAAGCGATTCGCGACCTTTTGGCAATTCTCCGCCACATGCAACCAAGCAACAGCCCAAGGCTTCAGAGCCGGAATCATGTCGTACTTGTTCGCCATCTGGAAAATCTCATAAAGCTCAAATATGCTAGGCGTATTCGGGACCAAGGGAAAGTTTGCGTGGATGATGTTGAGGATGATCTCCAAAGCCTCGGGGTCGTCTTCGGGGAGGTTCACCACCCATGGCCCAAAGGCCGGTTTGGACTCTTTGAATGGGCCAAAGAGCATCTTCTTCCAGACCTGCGATGACCGTCGCAAGGCGCTGGCGCAGACATGGAATGATTTTTCGGGCTTGTCTGTCTGCTGCCCCGCCCGCAAGGTGAGGTCTCCATCGGGGTCAATTTGGACTTGTGTGACACTGGAGAGTGCCCCGTTAGTGTCATCCTCAGCTTGTGAGTCGTCCATGGAGATTTGCAGAGCGTATTGCGAGCTCAAATGTCATGAGGCTGAGAATTGCCTGGTCCGTCAATTTGTACGTCATACTTCGAAGGTGGAAGTTGCGACGATTTCTGAAAGGGCCTTAGGCACTAAGTCAGGAAAGTTGGCAAAGTTGGAAACTTAAGAAACAAGATATCTTCAAGGGTCCAGGGACCATCCGTGCTTTCAGGGTCGTATCGAGTGATTACGTAAGCGGAAAATTCCTAGAATAGCTTCATTGGCTCACTACACAACTCTCGTGTGGTTTTGGAAATAAGTCATTTGATGTTTCAGTTAATCGAGAGAACAATTCATCAGAGTATGCTAGCGCTGGATGCTCTTCTCCCCATTAACGTTTGTACATGCCCAAGTAGATTGGCGTTGTTGTCGTAACTGATGGAACCTAACTAGGTTTGTTTTCAAAAAGGCCCTCTCCCGTAGGAATCACGATGGCTTGTCCATGGAAACCAGTTCAGCTTCGAAAATCAATTGATGAAAACGGATTTCTTAGCTCTCGTGGCCGAAAAAGTCTGAAGTAATCTCGGTCGCCCTGATTCAAGTTTCCTGCTTGAGACTCAAATCCTCTATTATTGTATACAAAAATACAAGATGTCGGAGAAACCTTGTCACATAGCATTGAGAGGCGCTTCTAATTGTCTACGGAAGTTAGAAGAGCATTCAGTTTAAGGAGGTTTCTTGACATGCGTTCCACTACTTAAGGCAGTTCACTCGATGATCTGTTCAAAGACAGCTCAACTGATACGAGCCGAAGGAGTTCCAGATACAGCGCTTCATAACCTTGAGACAGTCATTCTGGAATACTCGAATGATATACCACGAGCCTCTTCAAGTTAAAGTTTCTTTGCCAGTGAAAGTTGCATGCAATCGTACTCTAATTTCAAGACTCCAGTCTCCAGGTACTTGGGAGTCGAAGGCTGGGGGAAAGTGAACAAGACTGAAGCCTGAACGACATCAACTAACCACTGCTCCTAGACACGATCTACTTCAGAACTTGATGCACAAGTTTCCCACACACTTGGCTTCGAGAGCTCTCCTATTCTCAAATAACCCGCCCAACTCTCAGTCACGTCAACGCAGCATTTCTGCTCCAGCACGCAATTCCACCAAACCCGCAGCATCTCCAAGTCACGAGCATCAAGAATTACTCAGCAGCCTATATCGGATAGCCGTGCTCAAAGGCACTATCTATCAATACGTCGGATTGCCAACAATCCTGCGACATGTCGTGACCGGGGGCGGGGCAGGAGTGGAGAGCGCGTGAAGGAGGGGCCGGTCTGTCGTTGGCCCAGCTTCGGCTTCATCGCCGTATCGGACCGGGCGGTACCCGCAACTGCGCTTCGACGTACTGGATGGATGTAGACAACTCGGTAGTGTTATCGGTACTACTCTCACACATGAAAGGCAAGTGTGGAAGGTCCTGCCGCGATACGGAATGCCTCCCGCAAATGGAGAGTTATGAGAAACGATTGCCAATCCTTTGAAAACCCAACAAGAAATATCCACGCCTGCTGCTAAAAACGATCTTAATTAACCGTCCATCAATGAGAGTTTGAACGCCGCAACCCCAAGTAAACTCATACTATTATCGGGAAACCTTGGTCCTTGTCGGGTTGTTCTTCGGTTTGGAGGGGGTTTCGCGGGGGGTGTTGATTGAATGGTCGATGGCGATGCAGCCATCTTGGGGAAGAATCACGCAATGCGGGACTACGAGAGCACGTAATACCCCCCCAGCGCACCCAAAGGAACGACAATTCCGATCGACAACAAGCAGCGACTCCGAACACCGGGAGGGGGTGTAAAATCAAATGGCTCTTATCTTTTGCTAGAGAAAGTGACGAGAGAAAATGAGAAAGAAAAAAGTTTAACAATTCTATTGTGACATTTGGAGTATTCCTCTCCAAGTCCCTTCTTCCCCCTTTTCTCTCTACCCAACAGCCTTGCGTTCCGAGTTTCTGACTTTTACGACTTTCCTATTCTGCATCAACTTTTTGAGAGGAATCGTTGTCCAAGGCGAGACGGTGTGCAGCAAAACTACGAGACACACATAACGCCCGCAGATAGCGACTTTCCCATCCCATACCTGCCAGTAGGGACAACATACTCATCCTAAACGCCCATTAGACTCTGCCCAATGATAACGGCGAGACCGTGAGAAGACATCAGATCACCATGGCAGAAATCCCAGAGACGCAGACCGTCCTCATCCTCCACGCGGCAAAGCAGCCGTATGAGACGGCAGAAGGCTACAAGGTTCCCGAGATCCAAAACGAGCAAGAGGTGCTGGTGAAGACGGAACACATCGGTCTCAACCCGATCGACTGGAAAGCACCGTATGTTTCTCTTACCCCTCCCCAATACTCCTTTCAACCAGCGCCCCTAGGAGAATATAGTGAGCCAAAACTGACAAACCTCCCCAATCATTAGCGACTTCAACTTTGCAATCCCAACCCTCCCCTACATCTCAGGCCGCGAGCTCGTAGGCCGTGTCGTCCGCCGCACGCAATCATCAACAACAGCAGCAACGATCTCCCATACGCAGAGCCAGAGCCGCCTCCGCGAAGGCGACCAGGTCCTCGTCATCTCCACAGACTACCGCGACCTCCGCAAGGCAGCCTACCAGGAGTACGTCGTCACCTCAGACTTCAACGCGGCCCGCATCCCGCCCAATGTCTCGCCGCGTGCCGGCGCGACCCTCGGCGTCGCCTTCGTCGCCGCGGCGCTCTCCCTGGCCGTCTGCATGGGCGTAGACTTTTCCCACGTCCTCGACGGGCCAGATCTGCTAACCATCCTGCGCTCCGTTCCGCCGGAGAGCCTGCCGCAGGATATCAGGGCAGAGTGTCTCTCGGGCATCGGCAACCATGAAAGGGCTTCGGCGGGCGACTGGGTCGTCATCTGGGGCGGGTCCTCGACCTCTGCGAACTTGGCCGTGCAGCTCGCGCGGCTTGCGGGGTTGAAGGTCGTTACTGTAGTAGATAAGCTGCGTCACGGCCTTCGGCTGTCAAACCATACCGTTCTCCGACCGGATCTACTCGTCGATAGCCACGACCCTGCGCGCGCGATCGATATCATCCGCGCCAACGTCGGAAAGGACCTGCGCTTCGCGCTGGATACCAGCGGCCGTGAGTCTGCCGGCTGGTTGCTTCGCGCCTTGACGCCGTCGCAGGATGCGAATGCGCCGCCTAGCCCGCCGGATACGCCTCGCAACTCGGCGCCGACTGTCAAGCATCTCATCGGTCTTACCGGCCTGCCTAAGGAGCAGGCACCTGAGGCGGTAGCCTACCACACCGTCCCCATCAAGGTCTTCCACGAGGTCCCTGCCGTGGGAGAAGCCCTCGTTACCTGGCTGGAGCGATTGCTCGAGAGCGGTCTCGTCAGCCCACCCGAGGTCCTCGGCGTAGAAGAAGGATTCGAGGGCATCAACCGCGGCCTCGACCGTATGAGAAAGGGCGAGATCCGCGGCGGGAGAATGGTCGTCAGTCTCGCGTCAGAGGGGGCTGCGGCCGCGCAGGAAGACGTCACGAGAGAGGCGAGCGTGCCGCCCGCGCTGATCGATTCACCCATGGCGAACGGCGTCGCGGAAGAAGAACCTCAGCCTTCGGAGACATCGCAGGCATCCAGCCCCGAGTTCACCGCCCAGAAGCTTGCCGACACTGGTCTGCGGAGGGGAAGCGCGACATTGTGGCAGGCCGGGCCGGTGGGTGACGCGGTTCCTAGAAGTTTTCCTGACGAGCAGATTGATGGCAGTTCGAAGGCGACGCCCAGGAGGAACTCTCTGTGGCAGCCCAAGTCAGCGGAAATTGCAGTCGAAAATGGCCTCTCATGACGAGCATTGATGGAATAGCATCCGAGTTGATTGAATGATGATACAAACGATGGGGTTTACATAGTGGGAGTCTGATCAAGCCAGAATGACGGATAATCCACCTTTTGGGGCAGTCAACGGGCGAGTTAGAGTTGGTTAAAAATAGAGAATGCACATGTTCATTGTCAGTGGGAAGATGCTGTGAAGCCCGACCTTCGGTGAAGCGGACTGAAGTGGCTCCGGATTGGGCGCTACGGGGAAGAGCGGGGGCTACCCGGGGTCAGCCAACCCTCACCGAGCTTGACCTGGTGCCTGGCTCCCGTGCGTGTCTGCTTGCGTCTCCCCTCATTCCTCCCAACATCCGTCTTTGTCGTCAGTGTGTTTCCGTCAATTAAGCTCATCAGATAAGAGTCTTTCGGCCGCTTGTTGCGTTACCGGACCTCGGCCAGATCTGCAAAACCTACGTGCCTTTTCTCCTTTCTCTCTGCCAATGTCTTCTTCTTCTTCTCAGGTCGAGCGCCAGCGGCTACCGCTAGAACTCATCCTGAATATCATCGAGAGTCTTCTCCCACCGAATGAATCGTCAATCTTGCCTGCATCCCATAGTGCAACAAAAGCCCTGATATCCTTCAGCTGTGTCTCCCGCTCAACATATGACTTCAGCACCCGACTCCTCCGCAAGCGATGCATGCATATCGACTCGACAAGCCGCCTGAGCTTGCTTCTGCTGAGTCTCTTCTCGCCGTCGCCTAGAAATCTTCCGCCGACCCTATCACTCAAATGCATCACTTCTCTCTACCTCAGTCCATTTGGAAAGTCGCTCGATGATAAACCGACGGCCATGTGGGTGCGCGAGCTCTTTTGCGAGGTTTGCGACACCCTCAAGCGCCTTATCGTCGATATGCCGTTTGGAACCTTGTCCGGATACGATGACCACCTCGATGTCAGGCCGACTTTGACGGACGGGTTCCAGCGGCTATCCAAGCTGGAGGAGCTCATCTGTCTACGGGACTATCCAGCTCTGACTTTCATGCAACAGACTTTTACCGTCAACTGCTGGAGCTTGTGGCCCAACCTGAGGCGCGTCGTGCTATTCAACGCACCCATGTCGAGCCACTGGCTCTGGTATGACATAGCAAACACAGCCCAGCTTGAGCAGGTTGTTCTCGCGCGACCACTCGTTCCGCCACGGATCAATGTCAAGGACGACTACTACCATATGCTGAACAGCTATGACCACTTGACACCCCGGAAGATCAAGATTGTGCTTGCCGACGTGGAAAGCGACCTACCGGAAATAGAGACGACGAGATGGGACGAGTACGACCCCGAGGGACTGCTAGCCATCGAGAAATACGACATCCCAACGTCTTTCTATGGGGATGAGAATGCGACTGACTTGTGCTGCGACTGGGTCAAGATGGCTGCTCTGAACGGGTCGATTTGGGACTGGAAAAGCCACCCAGTGGATGGTCCGCCAGCAGATGCGGTCCAGTAGCAGCTCGATGCGGTGGCCGCGAGGACGAGTTGCAGCCCGCGATTTCTTCTCGCTTTTCCCCCGATCGCTGGACAAGGATTTCGGCGATATCCTGAGTAGCCATCGCTTGCAATCTATGTGCCATTTTATCTTAGGATGCGGCCCGACAGCTTGCTGCAAGCTAGATCCAAGCTGCCGTGTCTGGGGAGGCAAAACATGAGGGGACCGGGGTCGGAGTCTGGGGCTAGCAACATCCATTTCCCCAGAAATTGTGTTGTTGGCCTGGGCGGGCTGTCTTGGAGTGTATGATGAGGTTGTTCTTTTTTTCCAACATGGCTTTGCTATTCTGTAGCCGTGATAGACAGATACCATGCTAGATAATCTTAAAAAATTAAATATTGCTCGCTTTCGGGCGGCACTTTGGAGACTTGCTGTGGCGCGGGATTACGCAACACGATCCGTAGGACATGCTGGATGTCACTGACAAATAGGCATGCGTTCAATGTCCATCGGTGCGTTCGGCTCTATCACGTCAGCTCTCGTACGAATCTGTTGGTGTTCAACGTCCGGCGGCTGATGATCCATCGCCTTTGCCTTCGGTTCTTGCGGAGCGAATGAGATGTTGGTTGCTGTCTCCCACTTTTGCTTGTTTCCCTGTAGCAATGCGTACCATGAGATGCCACTAATTCCCGAGGAAAGGAGACAGCGGTGTAAGCTGTCCCCGAGGGCAGTAGATGCGGGGTCCTGAGACAGGTGTTGCCGGTAAATCTTAGACATTGGAGAGGACTGAGGGGTACAGGTAGGTCTCTGAGTACAGTAGAGCCGGGTTTCTGTCCGCAGCTTCTGACAGATAGTTTTGGGTGCTAGGGCCGAGTGCTTCCACTACTGTACTGATACCTTTGCGTCGTACCGGTGGTGTCAAGATGCTGGGGAACCGTCTGATGGTTCGGACAGATCGGGCATTTCTTCTCTCGACGTGCAGTGTGATTTGGTATACAGAGTACAGACGGCGGACGGATAAGAAAAGGATCGGAGCGATGGTGGTCAGCGGGTGTGGAAGAGCGGTCCTTTTGGTGAGGAACCTGGAAAGTCGGGTGACGTTGCATTGGAGAGTTTTGCTTCTCCAACCCCCCACGTCGCAGCGACTAAGCTACTGGGAAAGATGGTGCGTCGGTCCCCAATCAAGTGGCTTCGGCGAGTCTTGATCACATCTCGAATGTGGTTGCCTTGCAGGTACGTATGCGAAAGAGACGTGAGTCTCTTAGCCAGCGGTTGGCACAGCGGAACAGGGTAAAATGCGGCGAGATCAGGGCGGGCAGGGCTGGATGGGTAGAGCCATGGCGGCGGGCTTCCAGAAGATGTCGTGGAACATGCAGGTCGGCGTTCTGGAGGCGGCAAGGCGCGGGGCACACCGATAACGCACCAACGCTGCAGTGCCCATCTGTTGGTGAGGTATCTTGCTTGAGAAAGTCAAGTACTACCTTACGGTTGAATATCGACGGACCGAGTAAGGTAATCGAAGAACAGGCGTTATGACTGTTGACTGTGCGGCGGGCCAGTCACTTCGGGCGATGACTGACAGGAGGAATGGCGGGGGAAGCTAGGTCAGACCTGACTCCAAGCCTACAAGGCAATGCATCACTCAAGATGGAAGCTCGGGATTGACTTGCGGACTCAGGTCTGGCAGGCAGGGCGTGATGGATGTGACCTGACGGGGCCCTGAATCCTCGCCAAAGTCCGCGTCGGAACAACGGCGGCCGAGAGAGCCGAGCGGGTGGTGCCGGGGCCAAAAAGCAGTGGCGCTTGCCAATTAAAAAATAGGTTCCTAGGCAGGAAGATGTCATTGGAGGCAGGTTCGCTCTAAAGGAGTTCTTTCCGAGATCATGGCGCGCTTTCTTCAGCAACTGCCCAATCAAAGGAAGAGTTGTAAGAAAGAAAGCGCGGCCCGTCTTTGGGAAGTCCCGAATGGAAGGCTGGGCTTGGAAAGAAGGAAGCAATTTGGGGAACGTACTCCGTACCTTGAGAAAAAAAAGGAAAGCGTCGGGGCAACGCGCGGTAACGGTGACTGCCCTGGATGGAGAGAGTACAGGTACCTACCCTAGGCACCTCACTAGAGTCAATTGACAGGATGCAATGACGGCCGCAGCGACGCGCATAACGAGGCGGCGGCAGGCGCAGCCAGACAGACACCTTCCATTGTTTCCGTTCACTTGCCAGATGGGATTTTGCCGAGAGCCATTGGATTCCTGCATTTTACCTCCATTCTTCCCTTTTCTGTGTGTACATAGTAATCGGGCAAGTTGTGTATGCCTACTTAGGTATCCTGCACTTCAACTTCTTCCGTTTTCCCGTCTTCTCCATCCCGTCTATTTTGTCTTACCTTGGTTCCTTAGCCGTACAATTCCCCGCCGACTGCACACCGACTCTCAAACCGCGGCTGGAGGGGCCCTCCTTTGACTGACAGAGCAAACAACAGGAGTCATGCCTGCTCTTCGGCTCTCTTGAACCAACAACGCACACACACAGACCAGCAAAGCAGATAGACATTCTGCAGCCCATCTGCCACCATCCTCGTCGCATTCTCATGCTGCTAGCAATACTGGCTGCTGCCGCCGCCGCTCTCGCTTCGCTCCTGGGAAACGACATGCGCCACTGACCGTACTGCGTCCTTTGCCTAGGTCCCCCGACCCCCGATCCCCCGAGTCGGTTGTGAACCCCCGTCCACCTGCTTGATTTCCCCATTTTACCCCGTTTTTTCACTCTGCCACCCCCCGTCCACCCATTCCAGCAACCTGGTGTGTTCCATCGCAGACCCTCTTTCCCAGTCCACGTCTCCAGTTTCTAGCCTCTTTCTCCAGTTCTCGCCTCATCTCTCTCCTCGTCACTTCTTCTCCTCCTCCCTTTCGCCTCACGCCCAGCTTCTCCCACAGCCTTGCCCTCTGCGGCTTGACATCGTCGACCAAACTCTCTGAACACTGTCTCCATCATTTTGGAGAAACAATGTTGGATTCCTGTACCTCTACTGGCCCGGTCTTCACAGCGTTATGAGCTTGCGATTCTTCTACCTACAGAAAGCATAGGTAAGTTTGGCTTCCGTCCTGCGCATTGCGGTCCTCGGGAAGACGGGTGTAACGCACCACGACCACTACCACGGGACTTTTTCACAATTCTTTGGAGAAACCTGTGCTGATCATTGTTCTTCCTCCAGGAGCCGCAAATCCCTGAGAATCGCGCTCGTCCGCGCATAACCCCGATCTCCTTCCCGTTACCTCGACTATCCCGAGCCTCCCGATTTTTCAAATATGCCCGACAAAAACGTGACTACCATTTCCTACGCCGCTGGCGCATCCTTGGCCGCCATTGCCCTTGTCTACGTCTTTGCGCCGACCTTTACAATCGACGAATCCAGTACCTCATCGTCACGTAGGAAGGGCGTCGTCGGCTTGCGCAATGCCGCAAATGATTGCTTCATCAACTCGACCCTGCAGGCCCTCGCGGGTCTCGGCGAGCTACGCATGTACCTAATCCGCGAAACGCACCGCCGAAATATCGACGATGAAGGCGTATACTCCCAATTGGTTCAGCCGCCCGGCAAGAGCTACCCGGAATGGAAGATCGAGGGCATGCAACGAGGATTGGTAACACAAGGACTGAAGGACATGCTTGATTCGCTCAACGAAAGGCCCATCTACAAGAAATCAATTTCTGCCATTGAGTTTGTGAGAGTACTCGAGACGGCGTTTCGGCAGCGCATTAGTCGGCAGCAGCAAGACGCCCAGGAATTTCTCCAAATAGTGGCCGAGAGACTCAAAGAAGAGTACCACGCCGGCGAGAGAGCACGTACCCACGCACGATTGGAAGCCTCACGAGCCACCTCGGTGGGTGCTTCCGTCAATGGCGATGCAGTGCAGGAAAAGCTGGAAAACCTCAACCTGGCCAACGGCAATGGCGACGAGTCCTCCTCAGCATTACCTACGCCAACAATACCCAAGATCCAGACCAATGGCATACACGCGCCTTTGGACGAAGACGAGGGCTTTCCCATGGAAGGGAAATACGAATCCCAATCTGAGTGTCAGACCTGCGGTCACAAGACGAAGCCAAGAGAGGAGTCCTTTTACATGCTGACGTTGAATGTGCCTCAAGTCAGCTCCACCACTCTTAGTTCGTGCTTTGACGAAATCTTCAAGACGGAAATGATTGAAGACTTCAAGTGCGAGAGATGCCGACTGATCCATGCCGAAGAATCCCTCAAGGGCGACCTAGCAAATGCACAGAACGAAACTGAGAGGAACGCACTTGAGGAGGCAGTGCGCAAGTTGCGCCATGCAATTGACTTTGATCCGGAACATGTACCTGAGGATGTGCTCCTCCCGAACATTGCTAATGCGCCCAAGCGTAAAATCGCACGGTCGACGCGCCTCACGTCCTTCCCCCGCATCCTTGCCGTCCATCTTTCGAGGTCCATCTACGACCAAACGTCGACCAAGAACTCGGCCAAAGTTGCCTTCCCAGAGCGCTTGCCTCTTGGCGGCTTACGCGATCGTCGCAACTACAAATTGTTAGGTCTTGTTACCCACAAGGGAAGCCATCACAGTGGACACTACGAATCATTCAGACGACAGAATACGTATGCTCCGTATTCCAATCAAAATACTTTTCAGCCATCAGGCATCTATAGCAAGACAGCGAGTCCCGCAGCTACGCCACAGCCGTCGACACCGCAACTCGGCGCGGTTGCTCGGGGAGTCAGTCCCGCCGTATCGACGCCCGACCTCCTGACGCCGAGCTCCGAGACGGCTTCCTCTACCCGATCACTATCGTCATCCGACGCTTCGCCGAAGGACCGAGTAAGGAAGCGAATTAGTCCGGCGTCCGCCCCACGCGACAGGCAGAGAGAGCCCGACTCGGCTAGCATCCGATCCGTACGGTCACTCACTGCATCGGCAAAGAGCACTGTTTCAAAGATTTCGCAAAGAGTCAACGGGAATAGTACACCCGGAGGCAGCCCGCCTCGCCCCACGCCGATGGCCGTAGTGCCTCGTCCTCCAGCCCATAAATCTCGTAAGAAGCAGCCTACTGATCGCTGGTGGCGCATCAGCGACGAGAAGGTCCGCGAAGCCAAGACGGCCGAGGTCCTCGATCTTCGACGTGAGGTCTACTTGCTCTTCTACGAGCTCGAGAGGGACGACAGCCCGTAGAGCGAGGCTGGCAACGTTCCCTCGCAGCCTAGAACGTTGCCGCCCGAGTTCGAGCCGTTCCGAGCCTACACGGCCACTGCCTCGATGAAGCTTACGATGCTGCGGTGACCTCGGCTTGTATACATTCTTGGGATTACACGTTTTGAACCTAAAACACAGACGCCCTTACGTGTGCACAAACACACACAACGATTGCCTGAGGGAGAAAGAAGAAAAAAAATGCATCGGCTGGCGTAATAGTCTTATTGTTTATGCATCTACATGGTGGGCGATCAGGCGAGGAACCCCGATCAGCATTTGAGATGGTTGTTAGAAGCATTCTTCGCAGAATTGGCTTTTTCTTTTTGTTCTTGTCAGAGGCGGGTGTAGAGAGACCTGATTACAAAAAGACAAAAGGTACATAAATAGGTAGTACGAGGGGTAAAGACGATTAACCTTGCCACTGACAAGGTTGGATAAAGCTGAATACAGCTTTGCAAATTCCCGCCGGAAATATGTATCTACTTTGGCGTGACGAAGCTGTCATTCCCTCTCAAAATGCCTCTCTAATGCTGCTCAAAGTTGCTACGTGAAGCCCGTGCCAAACACAGACAATCTATCCATGTATGTGTACCAATTCTTCTGGACAGCTTGTTGTCAGATATCACTATGCCAGAGATCACCTAAAGGATGCACAGGAAAGTGTGGAAACGTCAGTCCGGGGATGGCAATTCGTCCAACGATCTGCACTACCAAGCCGAATGCAGCCTATGAAGATGGAAAACATGCTATGGAATATCTACGTCCATGGCACTCAATCGGCATATTGCGTGCGCAGTAAAGTTAACATGACTCCATTGGATTAATTGTACTCTACCCAGTGCCCATATATGCCGCGAATTCGGACTCACGGCCACATGAAGGAACATTCCCGTGCGCCAGTTCGCTAACTCTAGCAAGCCTCATTCCATCAAGAATGTCTTTCCGCTCCCCTCTGGAGGAACCTCATCCAGATAACCCAGGCCTGTAACCCCCCCGTCTCGAATGCCCTTCCTCATTATTGTATTCCTCTCTCGTGGTGCGTCGTGGCTCATGATGATTTTTGCTGTCCCAAAATCTCCCCCGCAATCTTGGCCTGGTCCGCCTCGCTCAGCGCCGCCTGGCTGCGGACCTTATCCGCCTTCTCGGCATCGTACCGCCACAGACCACCAGTCTTGTCCGCGTCGCCCGTGGCAGGCAGACCGACGGCGGCACCGAGGGACTCGAGCACGGCGTCGCCGGCGCCCTGGCGATCGGTGAAGTACCTGCGCTCCCACGAGCGTCCCTCCGTCTTCTCCTTCGCGCGAAGGTCGCGCTGCGCCTTTTCAATGGCGGACTTTTCGCGGCTGACGAAGTCCATGTCGCCCTTTGCAATGCCATCGGCGACGCCCTTCCAGGCGCGGCGAGACTCGAGCGGGTGCTGCTTGTCGAGGGGGGCGACGATGAGCTTGGAGGTCGGGTGCTGCGCTGCGTCGTAAGTGTCGATGAGGGTCTTTGACGAGTTGTGCTTTGCGGCGCCCTCGTGGATCTCGAAGGATTTGGTCCAGACACCTGTGATGTTGTAGGCCACGTCCTTTTCCTTGCCTGTTGGGTAGACGGAGGCGATGACGCTGTTCTTCTTGCCCGAGAGCCAGCCCTTGCCTGAGTAGTCGATCTTGGAGGTGTATCCCGAGGAGGAGGTGATGAAGGAAGTGCCCTCGAGCTCGATAAAGGGGGCGCCGAAGATAAGGCCTTCGATGTGGAGGGCGGGGAGGGTGATGAGGTAGGTCTCCTTCTTCCCATCTGGGGTTGGGATGGTCAGGACGGCGTGACCGATTTGCTTGATGTTGATTGTGCGGCTGAAGGTTGCTTTTTGTGCGTTGTAGCCCTCGAGGTGGACGCCAGTGGGGAGGTTGGTGATGGAGTAGGCTGTCGCGGGTGGGTGGTGACTGTTGAGAGAAGGACGATCAGCATTCTGAGCCTCGGTTTGGGTCTGGAGGTGCGGTAAAAGGCAATGTCGTAGTTCTCTTACCTAACCTGCTCACTGATGAGCTCCGTTGTGCCAGCATCGTCCTCCCACTTTCCGAGGAACAGCTCGCCGAGGAAAGGGTTGAGGGGCTTCTTCTCGTTGCCGTATTGCTCGCTGCGGGAAGCGTACTGCTGCTTGAGGGTGCTGATGAACCACTTTGTGACGAGCAGGGCGCGCTTGGCTGGGTCTGCCTCCTTTGCCGGGGCGGCAAAGATGGAGGGGTGTTCGCACCAGTAGGAGGAGAATTCGGTCAGGGAGGTGCTGGAGAGGATGAAGGGCGGGGCCGTCAGGGAGGAGAGGTCACCGTTGAAGGAGGCGATGGACTATTAGAGAGCAGCGAAAGGCCGTTGTCAGTTGCGACGTTTTTCGTGTCAAGTGGTGGGTGAAAGGGTGGGAGACTGAGTAGCGAAGACGAAGCAGAGGAAGGACATACCTTGAGGAAAGCTCCCCAGCTGCCCTGGTTAGCCTGGGCTTGAGCTGATGTTGGGGTCTGGGCCGCCATTGTGGATTCGGGAGAGTGTGTTTTGTTAGGTGTAAGATGTTATGGCAGCAGACTTGAGGCAGCTTCCGAGAGTTGTGAATGGCTTCGAGAATATAGGAGTTAGAAAGAGTAGGGAGTGGGAGGGTGCGTGTGTGTGCCTGTGGATGTATGTTGTGTCTAAGTTTCTCCCAAAAGTTACGGCTTGCAGGCGGGGTCTCTTGAAAAAAGGCCCGCGTGTGGTGAGCTGTCTTGGACCTGTCTTTATGGGAAAGTGGGATGTCGTAGTACCGCTGTGGCTGGGCGCCGCTTAGTGACCGCACTCGCTGTACCAGTTACGGGACCTGCTGCTCAGAACAGCTTTTGGCGGGGCTCCCCAACAGCTGAACAGGGATTTTGGAGCTGCGGTTTGCGGTTCTGGTGTCTGGGTTGGTCCAAGGTAGGGCCAAATGGGAAGGAATGTTTCCACTACCGATGAACGACAGGGAACTTTGAGAAAAAGAGTTGGGAAATGAAGTCGATCCGCTCGGTTGGTTGACTAGGCGATGGAAACACAACTATGGGGGCTGAAGGTGGTCCGTTTCGTGGGGTGCTTCTTGTTCGATTCCTTTCTTTCGCTTTGTACCGTGAGGTTGTTTGCCAAGAGTATTGGAAGGAGCCGTGGAAATTAAATGTTGACCGTTGGAAACGATCAAGACTCAAAGAAGCTTTGCTGTTTAATTCCGTGTCCGAGGGGCAATGCGATGCGATGACGGGTTGGTGGGTGGTGTGGGAAGAAGCTGATTAAGTTGACGTCAACTATCTTGTTGACCACCACCAAAAACCCAGTTGGCATCCGGGGCATCTAGACCAACTTGCGGCAATGCGCGCCGTACTAATTGCAAGAGGCGAAAAGGATGGGATGGAGCGTGGCTGAGCTTGCGTCAGTGAGTGTGAGTGTCGTGTGCGCGCACATAATGAGACGGAGACGTCATCGTCATTGACGCCCCTCGCACTAAACCTCAAGGGACCTGGGACGGACCTTCCACACCAGACTGGCACACAGTGACTTTCCCCGTCCGAAAGGCCAGCCGCTGCAGCACAACATGCCCGCTGTCCCTGCACGATGACAGCCGCCCGATTTGTTTCGTGGGGCAGCTGCAAGCCAGTTGTCCAGTTGCCAGGGCTGATCAAGCCACACACGTGCTCATCCGAATCTTACGGCTGAGCCACAGATTGAGAGTGGGACACTGATCCGGACCTGCCCTATGGAGCTCGGTCCTCGATCGGGCCCGAGTTGCACCCCGCCCGAAACCGAGCTGCCGGTGAAGGTGCTTCCCCCATGGGGGGGTACGGATGCGCCGTAGCATTAGATATACTCATGTGGAGATCGTTGCTGGAGACGTTAGTCTTTCAAGAGATTTCTACAATAAGCAAATAGGAACGTCTCATTAAAAGAGAAACGAATCGAGTTTGTATTCCTCGTAAAACCTCAATGTACCTGCGCCATCCCCAAAATACCAACGGAATGCAATCCAATCCAGTCCGCTACCTCTACGCCTGTGTGTTCCCTGGGTATCATCGCGCTCTCGTGTCTATCGTTGCCGTCTTCTTCCTTTCCTAACAACTCTCTTGTAGCTTCTCGACTTCGTCCGCGTTGATCCCCGAATAGTGCCCCTCCACCTCCTCCCCAAGAATCATCCACGGGCTGAGCTTGCACTCCGAGGTATGCTCAACCCAAGCCCACGCCAAACACTTGCTCCCAATAACCTCACACTCCTTCAAACATGCCTCCGCGCTCCCAATCGCGTGCACCATCTTCGCTCGTTCGTCGATCCTCCCAACATAATCCCGCCCTGTCCGAACCGGCATCCTCCTAAACTCCTCCACCGAAGGCGCACCGTAAATCTCCCACAGCTGTCCCCAGAACACCGGACTCCTCTCGTCCGCAAACGCCCGCCCAACCCTCTTCATCTCCGCCGGGTCCGCCACCCCGTGAAACGAGACCAGTGGCGAGCAGAACCGGTCCGCCATCATCTTGCTGATATTCGGCCTTTCGCCATTGAAGAAGTGGCTGTACCGCTCGTCGAGGTACACCCCGATCTTCTGAAACACCGTCGCGACGAGCTTATCACCCCACGTTTCCTCGAGTGAATGCTCCTGTGCCGCGGCGACAACGTCCCTCCGAGAGAGGAGCTGCTTCGCCGCCTCGTGCGATATTACGACGGCCGACCCGCCGTGTGCGAAGCGGCCCTTGAAGTCGCCCACTGCGTTGCCAATGTACTGCGGCTCGTCCGAGTCCCAGTGCGCGAGGAGGAGGCGGAGGGAAGATTTAACGAGGTAGGTATCGTCGTCGATGATGACATACCATTTCTTTTGTGGGAGGTTGTCGTAGATGTATTCGAGGCCCCAGATGAACTTGCACCACTGTTAGTACGAGGTTCTTGCTGTCTCACGTGCGCGAACACGCGGAGCAGACCATAAAAAGAAAGGAAGGAGATGAATTACCTTGAGCGCATCCAGATCCCACCCGAAACTCTGGCCAATCTCAGTAGCCTTGGCATCATCCCCCTTCTGCACGGCATCCTTGAGCGCGAGATACTCCTTAAACTTGGGCGCATCATGATGCGCCCTCATCTCCGGCATCGCCATGACGCCGCCAATAGCATCGTGCACTTTTACACCAGCAATCGTCCCATTCTCCCGCGGTGTCCAGTCGCCCACGACCACAAACGCATCCGCATCCCGCGCCGTGAGGTCAAACGCCTCGAGCTGCGCCGCGAGCCGGTGGCGGGTCCCGTAGCCCGTTTTAATGAGCAGGCCGACGTCGGTACGATACTCGATGGGGAACTTGGCGGGTTCGTACAGCCAAGCGTCCTTTTCGGTTCCCGGGCCGCGCCACCAGTTTTTGAGGCTGGCAGTGTTGAAGCGGAAGGCGAGGACGAGGGGGTTGTCGTAGGGGAGGATGAGGAATAAGAGGGCGTTGCCGACGAGAAAGGAGAGGAAGAGGAGGATGAAGAGACGTCTTATGCGTGGTGAGGGGAGGAACATGGTTGCTTCTGTTTGGCTGTAGATGTGATTGGGCGGTTGGTGTGGTTCGAGGTGAGGGGTTGGTGATGGTGTGGTGAGGTTGTCATGAGATGGTGGCCCTCACACACCGGCGATTGGGTGGCCGTGGTTGGCGATGCAGGTCAGAGTCGCATATGCAGAGCCGCGGGAAGGAAGCAGAGCGCGAGAGAGTCAGAGATCGTTCAATTGGAATTGGGCGTGATGTCGCAGGGCACACAGGATCTTGATCGAGAGGGAGGAATGGTTGCCAAGGGAGTGGACGAGTGACGTAAGCTATGGCCTTTGCGTAGTGGTTGAGTGAGAGGCAGCCGTCGTCAGCAGAATGAGGCTGATGTGGTGATGAGGTGGGTCGTCGTCGTGATCATTGAAGATGGTGGAAGGTGTCGCTTGAACTCGTTGACAGGGCAGATAGAATGAAGCTATCGCGATGGGTGCAGATGCGACATTGTAAACGTGAGGTGCGACAAAAACTCTAGAGACGTCGTTGAAGGTGTGAGAAACTAGGTCGCCACGCCAGAAACATCATTTGGTCTGGTGGCTGCAGGACAAGACCGGTTAAAGAATGAGACCAGACGACTGAGACGGCTAAAAAGAAAAAAAAAAAAGACAACACTCAAAAAGCAAACAGGCCAAGCGCAAAGCAAACTCATGCGCGCCCAGGTGTTGCACCCCATCCGGTCCCCCTCATCTGGCCTGAATAAGCCGCGCCACCGGCAGACAGCGTTGCGTAATAGTTTATTGGCTAGCAATGGCTGGGTGCCTGGCCGAGCCAAGAAGATACCAAGAGCACACCGCGATGGATTCACTAGCAAAATAAAATGAGTGCCGTTTTGCCGTGCTGCGCGGTTTTGTCTTGGGATTTCTTGGTGCTCTTGGAGACTGGATTTGCCGTGGGTGGCCCTGGACGCCCAGCAAAGCAAATTCGGCACAGCCCCAGCCGAAGGGAGGACACCAAATGGCAAAGAGTTACACCATGAAGCGGATATTTCTTGAGAGTCTTGCGCGTCTCATCTCCATGTCTGGTCGAAACACGCGAGACCCCTTCCAAGGCTATCCTCACAATTGGGGAAAAATTGATCTGATAGATAAAGGCGACGTACGCACTCTTTCTCCATTCCCCTCCCCCTCATCCCGATGTCAACCAACAGAGATAACCCCTCCACCAATGCCCCTGTTTTTGTTTTACGCCGTCGCGCTTGGTTCGTCATATTGAACCCTGCTCCATTCATCCCGGTACGGGAGTACTGCGTACAAGTATGTTCTCGACGGGCCAACGCCCAAATACCTAGTCACAAGTTTGGCGTGTTTGGGTTCGTGGGGGTTCCACAGTCGGCCCCCCAAACTCCCGTTTCCAGCAGTCCCCAGTTACATCGGCACGATCGGACATTTCCCCCAGCTGGCACAAAGCTCCACGCCGCCGATCACCATCTTCGGGCCAGCCCGAGCTGTCACTTTTTCCTCTGCAACGTCAGCATGTGGTCAGTTATGAATGCTTGAATTATCAAATTATGCCTATTTTCATTGTCAGGCGCTTCCCTGTATTTCCATCAGAATTTGACTGTGTCAAGACTGCTTCTTCTCCCGAATGACTTTGTCGAACCAGAAAAGCGCCAGCAGCAACCCGATGCTCCTGAACATGGCCGGGTATGACATGTACTCTGGGCTGGCGGTAATCGATGAGCGGGGCATTTCTTCGTCTTCGGCAACCAGATGAGCTTATTGCAAAAGACGATCCTCAAACCACTTGGAGGCTTTCCACTGAGATCGAGATGGAGACTAGGCGCTGCTGCGCAATACCGAAGCCTTGCACGGTGCTGAACACGTACGATATCGCAGCGAAGAAGGAGAAGAGTAGGGTCCACTGCGTCCATCGCAAGCCCTTGCGGTCCACGACAAAGGCTCCTATCACCGGGCTATTGCACTGTCAGCACCTGCAGATGCATAAAAAATGACACAGATATACCCGAGTCCCGGGC